CCCCCCCCCCCCGATGAGAGCTATCAACATTCGCACGTGGCGATCTATTTCCGGCGCCGAGTGAGGCTCGGAGTGCGAAGCGATTATCCATTCTCATGCGATCTCTCCGCGTATAATCCGCGGCATATAATACCGCCGATATCGCGTAACGTAACGCGCGAGCGCGTTTACGACCTCGCGGCGTGGCTTCGTCGATCGCGAGAATCGTCGCGCGAGAGAAGATCTCTCCTCGTTACCGGCGACTTTCGAATGAAACCACTCTCGATCCGTCTTCGTCAGAATGGCGCGCGTCACGATGACAAACCGGCGATATGTGTACCTACGACTGTCACGGCAATTGCGCGCGATATTCGCGGTTTTCTCGGCGGCTGGGATGCGAGCGCGAACTTTCTCACTTTCTTCTCGTTTTCTCCCGCTTTATCCTGTCTCTCTCCCTCTCCCTCTCTCTTTCTCTCTCTCTCTCTCTCTAATCCTCGTCCTCGCCTCCGCGTTTATCCGGACAACAATATGGCGCGGCACTATCAAGCCAAACAGCAGCGTTCGCGGTTCGAAACGTTATTAGAGGGACGTAGTGGCAGGCTGGCTTTAGACGCTCTAATCGCGTTGGCGAGACGCCGCGACGCATGCGGCCTGGTCCAGAGACCGGCCAGCCAAGAACGACATCCTAAGAATAATACACCGGCGGAGATGCAAAGCCGACGGGAAGGATTCGAATTTGATCGCGGAGTGACTCGAAATAATACATGTGTAATAACGGAAACGGTGACGTGTCGTGATCCTTGTCCGAAACGTATAGCGTCGTAAATCGCGGCGGATGAAGACTCATGGCAAATTTCAAGGAGCTCTTGTTAGCCAGGCGCTTCCTGGTCTGACTTGATTTCAACTCTGTCGCAGCGGTTTGCGGCCGATCCATCCTTGGTGAAAACACCGTTGCCAACCGGGCTAAAACAAAGTCTATACACGGAGAAAAGGATTTCTTTAGATTTGGTATACGTGTTCATTTGATTTGAGTTTGTTTAATATGAATAATAAAGATTTTATATCATTTGGTTTGGATGAAAATGTTTCTTCGCCGGTGTAAATTATACTGTTCGATAGAAAAAAAGCAGTGTTATTTTGAGAAAATAATATTTGGTTTCCAATAAATGAATTTATCTCATTGTATTAAATATTGTGCCACTGGAACGAAGTAGTTCTTTAATATTCTCCCAACATAGCGCTACTTCTTTCAAATAATTTATTGTTTGTGACGACTATTGTTTGGATGAGAAAGTATAAAAGACATATGTTATTTGGCTTAAAGATATTTATAGTACACAGAAAAAAATGGTCTTAAATCAAGATGGATATTATCACATTATAACATTCTTCAATTTTTAATCTTGTATTGAATTCAATATTTGCATCAATATAAATTCAGTCAAATCAAGAATAAAAATCTAACAAGATTATAATATTTTGCTTGTATATGGGAATATCTATTCTTGACTTAAGACTAGTTTTTGTTTTTGTATGAGAAACCAAACAATCCTGTTTGTTGAATTAAACATTCGTTCGTTTGTTCCGTTCCAAAAGGCAAGTTTGTCTTAATAAAAGAAATTTTATTAAATCCAAAGAAATATTTCTCTCTATATGTATCAGCGGATCGAGCCGGCAGGATTTTATTGCGCCCGTCTTTGCTACGCGCCGTGCCTAATCGGCGCAGTGGCTATCGCGATGTAATAACGACCGCGTGCAATGAATACATGAGTCGATTAAAAATCGCGAACGAGACTAGGTGCGTCCACATCGCCGGCCGAAGTCGTCTGGAAAAATTTATCGCCGGACGGCACGCCGAACGGCGTGAAATGAAATGCTGATCGTCGAAGCGTAGTTTAAGAGAAAATTTATTGTGCGTGAAGGATCTCTGACTGTCGGCGGGGGGAGGGGATATTGCTGATTCCTGCGTTCGTTGTGCAGTTCGGGTCGCGCGAAAAATCATTTATCGGATACGTCTGCGCGCGCGCGACAATTTTGCGAATCACTCGACGCTGTAAGAAACAACACACTCCGGCAACTTATGCGCGATGACGCGAAGAAATTTGTCAGAGTCGCGTGCCGAATGTTACGGCATGCTTGGTTACGTCACATAACGCAGACTGGATGTCAACACGCGTCGCTTTATTAACGGAGCGTGTGTCATATAGGTGGAACGCAGGCGGTGTCGCAATGCCGAGTCGAAAAAAGGGCGCTAACGCGCACCGCCCTGTCTCCGTTTTGTACGTCAAATCTATAATTAACGTACGTCCGATCGGCGTCGAATTGATCTATCGGCCAACGAACCGAGTATCGATGACAGTGACATTACGATACGACATTACCGTCGCTCGCGAGGAACCGACGCGCGCGTGTGCGTGTAAAGCCCGATCCTATACTGAGAAAAATATTTCCCAAAATTTAACAAATTTTATTGCGTCCAAACAGATCTCATCATCGGCATGCTCCGAAGGAACTAATCTTTCGATTAATAAATACGACTGTTAGACTTTCCAACGAATATGTATCTTTATCTTGAATAAAAAATTCGTTTGAAACGAAAGATAATTTTCTCACATGGAAATTATTCGTTTCGTTTCACGTATTTATTGTAACGAAATAATATTTTCTTTGGTTAAAAGATATTATTTCAAGTAACGACGTTCTCTTTTTGTTAAATAATAGAGTCTCCCCGAATGAGACAATGAGATATTTACTCAAACAAATAATATTCCGTATACGTTGTTTCTACGAAGCGAGTTCCAGTCAAATACATAGAAATACTAAGTCTGAAGGAACCTTTCTCTCTGCTTACGCAGCTCGCAGTGCGCGAGACGCAGGTCGCAAGCGCAGGCACAAGATGACCGATCAGCTCTCCTTGCATCTGCTGGTCCTCATTTTCACGTTTGCGACCTGCGTTTTGCGAGCTGTGCGGACGGGGCTTGATGCGCGCGGGCCGTTTAATTTCACGAAACGGTTCTCCTTATCGATTCGCGCGATAAAATAACAAGCCGATCGTTACCGTCCGTGCTCTGTATAAACTGTTTTCAATTAGAATTTATCTCTAATGCAACGTGTGTGGCGCACGTGTGTCGATATCGCGATATACGCGAACTCTTGCTTGCGCCCTGCGCGCATGCGAGGCCGCGTACACTGTATATATGCAGGAGGGACGGCCACGTTTGCGCTATAGCGCGAGACAAAGAGAGAAAGAGAGAGAGAGAGAGAGAGAGGATGTTGCGGTATTTCGCAAGTTTAAGCAATACGTCGCCTAGGTTGATTCACGACCGTGATATCAAACGCATATTCGTTCTCGGACCGCATCCTTCGGCTCCACTCGCGCTCTCCTTCTCACTCCTCCCCGTTGGCATTCGCGAAAGAGAAAAAAATCCCCGGCCAGGTAGGTTACCGTACCTCGGGAGAGCCTGTCTCCCAAAGCGTAGGCTCATTTCTACCGTCTAAGCGTCAGTGTCCAGGCGACGCTCCCTCCGCGGCCCGGGTTTCGCGTGCAAACGATAGTTACAGCACACTGACAGCGCGACACACGCCGGGCCAGGTGTGAATACGCGAGACGTCATGCCCAGCGACCACGGTGAGCCGCCGTCCTCGTCATCTGGCGAAGTGTCAAAACGCAGCACGTAGCACTTGCACGTATTCGCGCAATTCGCAAACCGCGAGACACCGAAACGCTCGAGCAGCACCGATTGGTGCATCGATTACGAGAAATGCCACAGGATGGGGTCACAGCGAAATCGTCGTGATCGCCGTGAGCGATGCGCCGTCGATGCCGGCACGAAGATGACTGGATAAGCCGGCGTGTATCGCCGATATACCGGGCGACGAAAAGTAGGGACTCCGCGGAGAGACACGCGTTTCTGTTCGTGAACGCGTATTGACCTTCCCTCCTCCTCCTCCTCCTCGCGGCCGCAACCTTCTCTCATACCGAGAGTGTTTACACGGTGTTACACGGCGGGTTACGTCACAGCCGACGGATTCGGCGGTGACGTAGCGCGAGCGTGCAATCATCACAAGCGGGTCGATGAATATAGAGATGTGCGATGTATCTCGCGCTTAAATATCATCGCACTGCGTGCGTGCCTTTTGATTCCCCCTCGTGTGGCGAAATTCACGTGCGCAATTATCGCCCATGCGATTTAATTGCGCGCTCGCTCGCGATCCTTATCTGAAATTACTCCGAGGGCTACTGGGAGAGAGGGAAGAGAGAATCTCCGCGAGAGAGAGAGAGAGAGAGAGATATATATCCCGTGATGGTAATTGCACATGCTATATACGCTCGTCCGCGAACGTATTTATATTCCTACGGTCTATATATATATATATATATATATATATATATATATAAAGATTTGCGTGCGTGTGTGGCGCCAGACGCATTACGTCGCATTACATCCGAACTCGCGGTATTCGCGGTTGCGCCATCATTATCGCGCTGTTCGATATCCGCGTGATTCCTCTCGCGTCGTTCAGCGCTTAATCGCGAGCTGAGGAAGGTTCGATCCCGAAATGCAAGTCGATACCGGGCGCGACGGAGATTGATTTAACGAATGATTCGCCGCGATCGTTCCGTGTGTTAGCGTCGAATATAACGAACCGGGCGATTACGTGATTCGCATTGAGGAGGATGCAAATTCACTTTAATAACTACCACGAAGTCGTTTCTCACACGTGTCATTCCTTCACACCTCGGAAACTCGGCTCTGCGAAATGATCCTTCGATATGTATTACTACGGTTATCCCTCCGCAGTAATTACACCGTACCGTGTTGCACCTTCGTATCTTCGCTCAGTAGCGAACTCTTCCTGCCACTGACTTTGTGGCTGAAAGGTCAATCGCTCGTGCCATAATTTGGCAATGACTTGAATCACGACGGTGGTGGGATAATACTAAGCCGAAAGGCCTTGCCAAAGTCGCGTCACAATCGGCATTGTTGGTTATTCGCCGGTTAAAAAAGAAATCTTAGGCGTCGTGCAATCTTCCGTCAAACGTACATCGCGAGCAATTGAGAAAACATAAACATAGATCTGCGACGATCACGCGTTATATATTTATAGCCTGTATATATATATAAATATATGTATTAAAATAATAATAATAACGTCACCTGAAAGAAACGCTATAAAAGTGGCAATTGTATCGATAAAAATATAACGATGAAACGTAGAACTGCTGAAATAAAAAAAATCGTAAGAGGAAGAGGGGAGGTATAAGCAAAGCATCAGATGCACATTTAAGCATGCACATGCAGATCTGCTCGCAGGAGGACCCGTATGGCACCGTCGTTGCCAGCCAAAAAAGATTGCGAGCTACTTTCCTATGAACTAATGCATGAGATAGAGTACACGGGGTTCAATACCAAAAGCCCCGTAACTAGGAATCAATCTAAACGGTCACGGTGTGAAAAGATATCGAGTTTATTCCCGATATTAATAGCGAGAGCGCACATCCTCTATTATTGATATTATAATTAAATTAAGTCTCGCTATATTAACGGAATCTTCCTCTGTGTAAGTTTTACAAATCGAAAAACGAAAAACGTGATTCACAATTTCGAGATTCTGTTATATATTTTCTGTTCACGATAACGCACCGACAACGCAAAACATACTATATAAATATTATCCTAATAAGCATTAAAGTTATTTATACATAATTGAGATGTTTTTTATCAAAAGAGATTATAAAAAGATGTATCTATAAATATAACATTCAAGGTCGTTTTTACACGTCTCTCTCGTCATTTGTTCTTCGTTACTCTGTGATAACGCTCGCGTCGCCGGATTAAATATACCATGTTTAATATAAAAATGAACGATCATTGACTGGCTCAGCTGGCGGTAAGTGATACGAGGCGGTGCTGGTCCGTATCGAGCAGACGCGAAAACAAAATAATGCACTCTGACTCACGATTCGGCGGATTTCTGCAGCTTCTCGAGACGTTCCTCGAGACTCCGCGCTGGCGCCTCCGTGAACGCGGCGAGATACGCGAGCACAGGTCCTGCCAAGCTCTTCACTTCCTCCGTTGCGGGCTTGAGTTTCTCGGCGTCCGCCACGAGTTCCTGTCCGCAACAGGATCGGAAAGCTCGTTAACCATCTCCGATGATAAATTCGCACGGTGTCCGTGAATCATTGTTGTACGTTTTAATTTAACACATACACTAAATCCCCCCCGCAAAAAAAAATGAACAACGACGCTCGCTCGGCGATCGAGTGGAAGAAGAATCAGGTAAATCGCGTGAAGAAGGAAAAGGAATGCATTAGCCGGCAAACTCGGCGCGAGCGAGCCCATCGCGGCATGATTATTCGCGAGCGACTGAAGTAGTTTTGTAGGTTCCGGAGGGCCGCGCACCTGTGGTGCCTGGCCGTGCAAGTCTGACACATTCGGCGCATTTATAAAGGGCGCGCCGCCGGAAAGAGAGAAAGACAGAACTAATTGTATATCCGTATACCCTTGGCCGGTGAATCGATATACGAGCGTGCATAGCTCGTAGAAATGCGACGTCGCACTCAGCCACTTGACGGCCGAAAGAAAAAGTTTATTTCGCGTGACACACCTCGGCTTGTACTTGTCTGTTGTTGTACAAAGTTTCATATCGATGTGTATGCGAAGTAATAACCGCGGAGCACGCTCAGCCTGATTCCCCGATTTCCCCTACGATCTCCGTGGGCTATTTTCGACACGGCCGATTTAAGTTCTCGGGACGGGTCGGTTATTTTTACGTCGACCCTCGCAGATCTGTCACTTTCCATGACAAACGCGCGCGTAATCGCTCTCCACGCAAAGGGATTATCCGCGTCAGACGGCAAATGTCGTTTTACCTCCAATGCTTTAACGGTGTCGTGCAAGTGCTGCTTCGAGCGCACTACCGTGTCGATGAGTTTGTTCTTCTCCTCGATCGCATTCAGCCGCGTCTCGATGAGAGCCCACTGCGCCTCCAAGTCTTCCCAGTGTCGCGAGAGCGCCTCCAAGGCATCCCTGCGTCCTTCCAGACCGGAGACCAACTCCCGCCATTCCGAGCTGATCTCGGAGAGCTGCGACTCGATCGCTTTCCTGTTGCTGCCGTCCGCGAGCTGCAGAACCTCTCGTCCACGGTCGTTGAGGAGATCCAACTCGAACTGTTGGTTCTGCGAAACGCACAAATAATTTGTTATGATTGACGTTACTGTACGTCTTGTTTACATTTGATAAAAACGCTTGCCAACAATTGAGGGATTTTGATATTTGACTGTTTCAACACCGTACAGAATTCTTCGCGATGATATAAACATTCATGAGCCGGAAAAGTACCGAAGTAGTTTTGATCGATCTGAGATGTAGCCAGTAAAGAAGCCAAATCAAGCAAATGACTTAGATATACTTGTAATGTCGAGAAACTTCATTCAAGGCAGTGTGAGAAATTAGATCAGAGAAATTTATGTACGATCAGATTAAAAATATATCTGACCGAACTATTTGTTTATTTCGCTGCTATATATAACTTTTGCTATGTATAACTTTTGTTAGGCCAATTTGTAAGAAAAAAAAACAGAGAAGAAAGAGATTTATTTTGTATCTGCCGCGCTTTGGCAACGCACCTGGATGTCGTTGAGAGCGTGTGTGATCTTCTGAATGTTGAATTGTAACCCGGCCAACGTGGTGACCGGCTCATCCGTGAATCTGGTCCTGCTGATGACAGCGCGAACGCGCTCCAGGCTTTGCGTGTAGTCCCTCCACATCTCCGCGCCCTGCTCCAAACGTGAGCGTTGCGATTTGGCCGTGTTGAGAGTGTTCTTCAACAGTTGGGTGTGCTGTTGTTGCTGGGCGCTCAGCTCCTCCTGCTCGTAACTATCCAGAGACGGCCAGATTTTGTCAGCCGCTTGCTGGATCTGCTGCGATACGAGCTCCCGAATCGACGATTCGGTGCTGAAGTAGATCTGAAAGGATGAATGTCGATGATTAAATCGACTCGCGAAAAATTCGTCAACTTGAGAGGCGAATTATGAAAAATGGAGAGAAAATTGGGGAATCCCTCACCTTGTGCTCCTCCAGATCGCTGAGGATGTTCTCGAAGTCAAGGCCCTCCTTGTTACTCTCGAGTCGAATCTCAGCCTCGCGAGCCCAGCTGTGAAGCTTATCCGTCAGGGCGGCGTAATCCAGTCTCATCTGCATGTTACTCTCAAGGTAATTCCCACGCTCTTCCATCTCCCGCGGCAAGGACGTCAGCAGGGACACCGCCTCGCTCAGCATCTCCTTCAAGGATCCAGGCATACCCTCCTCATGCCTCACGGATTCTTTCAGTTTCCTGATCCGGTCGAGGTGTTTGTTCACGTCGGCGCAAAGGGTGTGGTGCTTCTTCAGTTCCTCCTCGACGCTGATCGGATCTCTCTCCAGGAGCGGTCTGGACTTCACTTCCTTCTCCTTGCTGTCGAGCCAGTCGAGGATATCAGCCAGTTCATTAGCGAGTTTCCTGTGCTCGGCCGCCGCCAGCTCGTGTTGCTCCTTTTGAGTCTCCACCGCTCTTCGGAGGGCTTGCAGTTGCTGCTTCAACGACTGCAGCTGCTCCGTCACGTTGTTCCTGTCCACGACCGAGCCTTCCGCCGCTATCTGCTGGCCCTTGTCGGTCGCGCTGGCGAGAGTGGCTTCGCACTCCTGGATCTTCAGTATAGCGTCTTCGTACCTATTCGTGATTAAATCGATTATATTATAATCAACACTTGTTGAGAAAATAATATGTTTGAAATTAAATTTCAAGGGGATATTGTGCCTTCTGAAGTGCAATTTGTATTATCATTGAGAAATAGTCAATGTGTGAATAGTCATTGTGGGTCATAGTTACAAATATAGAACTATAAATTAATAAGATTTCGCTGAAAAGATCTGTCAGTACTGTTTCTATCAAGGAAAATAAATATATATAATGATGTTTCTCTTGAGTCTGCTATTGTACGAACTACGCCAAATATGACAGGTAACAATTTGTTGAATGCATACACGTGTATGTGTATGTGTATGTATATTTCTGCTATGGGGCGCATAATAGCCATTTGCAGTGAATCTTTCACTGGCCAAAATTCGTAAAATATAAGATAAAATAGCTAATTGGAAGTGATTTCCTTAAAAATTAGCGAATATTTACCGATTATCGGTACAGTATCACTATATCCCTGTAAGTGCGTAATATTCCTAGAATATTCTAATATTCTAAAAATGTTATGTAATATTTTTTAATATTATAGGAATATTCTATTAATGTTATATGTCCACTTCACATAAAATTCTTGGCATATTATAAAAATGTTCTTAGAATATTAAAAAAAGAATAAAATAATAATAATGTAAAATATATATATATATTAGGTGGTAAACTTAGTTCCTGCGGCTCACAGTTAGATGACGTTAGTTGTAGGTGTAATTTATTTTGACATCTGAAATTGGCTGCATTTTAGAGGTTAGACATTTGTCAATAAAATTCAGTGCGAAGAGATTCATTTAAGCGAGCAGTGCTATTTTTTCTTTTGATTAAATATGGAACGCGATAAGTTGTTTTTTCGACATGTGCTGCTTCATTACTTTGACTTGAAAAAAACTGCAGCTGCAGCTCATAAATTGCTTTTCGAAACTTATGGCAATTATGCTCCATTGGAAAGAACATGCCAAGTATGGTTTCAGCGATTTAAGATTGGTGATTTTGATGTCAATGATAAAGAACGCTCAGGCCAACCGAAAAAGTTTGAAGACACCGATTTGCAGGCATTATTGGACAAAAACTCTACTCAAACGCTCCAAGAATTGTCTGCAGCATTAAATGTTACTCCGTTGGCTGTTTCCAAACGTCTACATGCAATGGGAAAAATTCAAAAGGAGGGAAAATGGATACCACACGAATTAACTGCAAATGCCATTGCGAATCGCTTAAACATCTTTATTTCTCTACTCGCCAGGCAGAAAAAGAAGAGTTTTTTGTGGCGCATAGTGACTGGCGATGAAAAATGGATATACTTCGATAATCCTAAACGAAGAAAATCAT